AAATGGAATATATTTTATTTAAGGATTTATTGTAGTCAAGTCCCAAGAATGAAGCAACCTGACATACTCTAGCTGCAATGAAAAAATTGCTTTCTGCTCTTGTAAATACTTAGATGGACAATGTAACACCCCAGCTTTACGTCACTTACATATCCATCCATACATATGTAAATATGTGCATATAAATAAGCGTACAATTTTAGTATTTTCTCTTAAAATCCAATTCAGGTGCAGCTAAATCAGGGAAGGATTGGACTGGACTGCCAAAGGAGGCCAGGTTGTCTGTAAGACTGAAGACACTTAAAAGCAGGTTAGAGAAGCCTTTTCCTGCCTTGGGTACAGGAATGAACTAGCTGAAATTTCTTTTCAGCACAAAGACTTCCATTAAGTTCCACTTTTAATTGAATGAAGATGACAGTAGGTGATTTGATCAAACCCACGCTCCCAGTAAGAAGCTCAGATGAGATGCTTGCTGTTTGCAAAGTCTCAGCTGCAACCAATTAAGCCACACTGACATTTCCGTATTGCAAGTTAACTTCATAAAAACAAAGAACAGCATACACAGTCCTCCAACCCAGTGGAATGAAAAAAACCCCACGAAACTTCTGCCAGCTCCCCTGCAGTCTCAATCCCTCTGCATCACTTCCAAAAACTGAGATGAAAAAGGCTGCTGCCACCCACCACTTCATGAGAATGAGCCAAACTAGGCTGGTTACTCAACACCTAAGACCCAATTTCATTCCATCATTCTTTATCTCTCCCTGTCTTTTGCTATGCCATTATCTTTCATCAACTGAGGCTACATGTAGTCACTGGTAAAAGCAAAAGAACCAACAACAGAGTTTACTGTTGTAATTTAGTTTGTGTCATAATCCTCACTGCACTGGGTGATTTCCATACAAAGAGGCCAAGTCGCTACTAAAGCAAAGACCGTATCAATTAAGTAGCTAAGACAGTGCAAGTCTTCATGAGTATTTAGATGACAAAAGGATAGGGACAAGGACCTTGGACAAGCTGAGGTATGGAATAGGTAATGACCGCACAAACGCATGACACTGCCTTTCAGGATGACAAAGAGCAGCCAAAACTGCTTTGTCAGTGATGTCACTGCTGACAGAACAAAAAGTAGAAAATGGGAAAAGAGTCACAAAAGACAAAATAACCTGAACTTGGAGTACACTTATAAAATCTGACCTTGGTGCAGCAAAAAAGGGAGAGGCAATGGAGAAACAAAGCAGAGAGAGAGAAGCATTCCCAGTTACAGGCAAAAAGGATTATGGCAAGAACAGTGTGTTTAACAGAGGAGAGTGACAGAGGTCGAAAAGATGTAGGTTTTATTGTAATAAAGCGAAGAAGGCCCAAAACGAAAAGCAAAATGTAAACTGTAACTCTAGCCAATATGCACCCAGACAGTGAAAGCAAGGGCAGTGCTTTTAAAAGCCAAAAAGTGCTATGAAGAAGAAAATCAGAACCTTGTTGAGGCTAAGGTGTCAAACAGGACACATGGGGAGAGATGCCTGGAAGCAAAATCAACTGTCACACATGACTTCTGTTTCTGGTCAACAGTTTTTTCCAGCTTCACAAAGTTTCACTACCATCATAACCACAAAAGAGGCTGCTGATATGCAGGAACGCTCCTTTGCCACAGCAAAGTAGAAAAACAAACCTTGACTTTGCGTTGGTATTTATTTATTCCTCTTGCTCACCCAGAGGTGCAATTATGAAACTACACTGGCAGCATCTGTCTTTTTTCACATTCGGTATCCGTCTGATTCTCAACAAAATACAGTACTTCAAAGCACTATTCAGAGGGGTGGTCGATACACCAGAAGGCTGTGCTGCCATTCAGAGAGACCTGGGCAGGCTGGAAAGTTGGCAGAGAGGAACCTGATGAGGTTCAACAAGGGCAAGTGCAGGGTCCTGCACCTGGGGAGGAACAACCCCAGGCACCAGTGCAGGCTGGGGCGGACCTGCTGGAGAGCAGCTCTGTGGAGAGGGACCTGGGTGTCCTGGTGGACGACAGGTTGACCATGAGCCAGCAGTGTGCCCTGGTTGCCAAGAAATCCAGTGGGATCCTGGGATGCATTAGGAGGAGTGTGGCCAGTAGGTCCAGGGAGGTTCTCCTTCCCCTCTACACTGCCCTGGTGAGGCCCCATCTGGAGTACTGTGTCCAGTTCTGGGCTCCTCACTCAAGCTCTTTTCAGTGGTGCCCATTGACAGGACAAGGGGCAATGGGCACAAACTGAGGCACAGGAAGTTCCGTCTGAACATGAGGAAGAACTTCTTCCCTCTGAGGGTGATGGAGCACTGGAACAGGCTGCCCAGGGAGGTTGTGGAGTTTCCTTCTTTGGAGATATTCAAGCCCCACCTGGACAAGGCCCTGTGCAGCCTGCTCTAGGTGACCCTGCTTCCGCAGGGGGGTTGGACTGGATGACCCACAGAGTGCCTTCCAACCCCTACCATTCTGTGATTCTGTGATTCTGTGAGTCAACAGCCTTCAACTGTGACCCATGATACTACTTCTTCATCAATTTTGGATCTCTCCAGTGAGGAAACAACGGACTGAACTTGTATACTGTGGCACTTTGTCGTGCAAAACATTACTATTGCAGTACAAATGCTCCCATTTATTGGGATGGAAATTCCTTGGATTGGAAAACTTAACCAAAGCTCAAAGCATGTTTCACCACATTCACATGGCATTCTACATAAACATTTTCCCGCTGCTTACCATCAGTAACGTATTTTCTCTTCTCCTCAGCATCAGTAGTTATCTCAAACAGATCTCCATAAGCACGTGCAACTCTCCAAAGAAAGTCCACACAGTTTTCATACTGAAAGTAGAGGACAGCTGGGTAATTAAACTGATCAGAATGTGATTTAAACAGCCTCCTTTCACAACACTTAAAGCAGGTTATTGGAACACGGCATAAATCTTTGGTTATTTTGCATCTTTCTATACTACTTTTAGTTTCTGTGAGGGCTGGATGACAAATTTTTCACAATCAAAGGAGAAGACAGTTTTTGGAAATACCCTGGGCTGTCTCAAGAGGTTTTATTTCATACACTAGTTTTAAATTTCTTTTATTACAAAAAAATAAAAAGGTAATCCAGTAAATCAAAACAGATCCCTGAATGATGTGATATATACTTTCTTTAGGTATGCCATAAGCACCACACTCACTTACAATCAGTATCTGATCTACCTTCCTGGGAATTTCTATATGTAAATGAAAATACAATCAAAACTAATGTTTGCCAAATCAGAAGCAGCTGATACACTGAATTTAGCACTGCACATCAAACCATTTTGAAATTTTATCTTGTGTTACACGTGTGCCCAGTGAAGTCCAAGAAAAATTCACATGAACTATACCAGAAAGGTGTAAGCAGATTACAGGCTTGTAGTTTGATTTCTTGAGCACACTTGGTCTGGTTACTACTTAATTCCATAGGACTTTCTCACATAGACCATTCTAAAACCAGTAAAAGTAAGTATCATTGGCGTCGAAAAAAGCCCATGATCTTTCTTTGTCGCATGCAAGAATACACACATCAAACAAAGCCTCAAAGTTATTGAGCCTAGATGGGACATAAAATAATAAAACTTCTATGCTCACTCAACATGAATATTGACACCACCTTGAAATACTTGTTTTTCACTGTATTTTAAAAATACGCATGAAATTTCATCTTCCATTCCTGTGTGCATTTTAATGCTTGTATTAAGGAAGTTCTCAAAAGCGGTGCAAAGCCTAAGTTAATAGCAATATAATATTAAGTTTACCCATTAATACCTTGTCATCTTTCTCAAGCAGCAGTCTGAAGCCCTCCTTTTTATCATCCTCTGAACCTTTGTGCAAATTGTCCACCTGCTGTAGAAGATTAACTAACTCTTCTGATTTCACAATGGCATCGGGTGATTTCATACATCCCTTTTCTTCATCGGAGTCTCCTTCAGAGTCAGTATGAGCTGTAAGATAACTAAAATAACAGAAAATAATAACCATAACTTCCAAAAATATTGGTAAAGCACAGTTAAATTGAAACGCAAAAATTCTGGAGCACAATTTCTTCCGGTTCTCTAACTTTGAAGGATGTTATTTCCTAGTATCAAGCTCATTATTATTATTGCTACAAAACCATTATCTTCAAAGGGACAGCACAATCATATTCCAAACATAACAGGCAAGTAATTACACTGTCCTACTGCCTAATACTGTATTAAAAAAAACACAGACACATATTAGAAACACATGTATCCTTGTGTTTCAAATGCAGAACACTTTAAATCATTCATGTGTATTAAGACATGCTCTGTAACCCTGAATAGGCCTCTTCAACTCTTTACCTCCATTTCCCGATTTTTTGAAATAGGAATGAGCTTGCTAACCAAAACATTAACGCTATAAGAATCACTTACACAATGCTTTGTTAAACACTTATAAGATCTAAATATAAGCAATAACATCACTGTTATCAATTCCTTTACTTATCTCTTTCGAACATTCTGAAGGTCAGAATATCTGAAACTGGGAAAGAGCTTACATTAATTCATTGTGCTTAGTGCACAAGTACTCAGCACTAGGCAATCAAGGACAAAGAACTATTTACAAAAGCCATAAATACCACGCAGAGAAAAGCGGGTGCCCTTACTGACCAAAGTGCTGAGCATACATTATATTTCCTATAGGAGCATTCATATATGAGCATCTGACCAGCATTATTTTTAATCAGTAGCTTTTTGCTTATGTACTAAAAATGGACAGAAAAGCCTAATTTTCTGCATTTCTGCTTCTGAAAAAATTGTTCTGATGAGAAACAATAATGTAAAAGTATTAGGTACCAGGTTCAGAGATTTTTAAAATGGTAACTATAAGCAGAAAAAGCATGAAATGTACTATACACATTAACTGAATAATTGAAGTACACCATGACAGTCAAAATATATAAAATCTATTTTTTTCCAGAAATAAAACCAGTACAGAATGTTAACAATATAAATGAAGGTTAATTATCACAGCTTTTAAATATTCTGGTTTTAATACGTTGCTTTCAGAAGTGATCAGAACTAAAACACAGGCAGATACTCTTACAGCACAAATACAACTGCTTATCAAGCTACAGAAGTGCTAGATATGGCATGACAGTTTCACAAAATCAACCTAGTAATATGGGAAAGAGGAGTCAAAAATACATTTGGATAAAACAACACACACATAAACCACGTGTACATGTTCAAACTGAAAAACAATATGGAGCAGAGCAGAGATGGGAAACTTCATAGTTTCCTACAGATTTGTTTTACATAATTTTGATGATGCTGAAGTTGATGACACATCCTGTGTTGTATCCAGCAAAGTCTTTATCTGTAAGTCACCAAGCATTTATTTTTGTTTCCTGAAGTATCTTTTAAAACACAGTAGCTTGTTCTTCCACAGTTGTTTTGAAGTGGGTGCAGAGCTACATCATATATAGGCTGCATTTTTAAGAGTACTAACTTGACCAAAAGTGCAAGGGGTTTGGTGGGAGGTGGGCGGTCTTTTAGCTCCAATACATAATCCCGTGATGTGAAGTAGGTTTGGAAAATACCTTTCCTCCCATGGTTGGGACACTCCCCCCCAGCTAAAAGATAAATGCACTGAGGGTTTGTGCAATTATCAACGTAAAATAAGGGTGCCAAATAATATAAAGTAGCAACAACTAAGCAATAAATTCAATTTCAAATCCCCACACAACACTGCAACCATAACACTCCTCAGTTACAAGAATTTGGGCACTGCATCAAATGCTGCCTAAGCAGGTAGATATGAATGTAAGGAATCAGTGTTTGGAAGTCAATATTCATGTTGTCATTTTTCTCTTCACTGCATAAACATCTGCTAAAATTTCTGTGATCACTACTGTTGCAATGTTAGAAAACAGACATAATTGATTATTAGAAACTGTCACTATCCTAGCAAAAAAAATAAAGGCCAAGGTGACAGCCAAGCCCTGTCACTCCAAACAAGCCCATCAGAGATTTCCAGCAGCACTGTATTAAACTGTCTTGGCTAAACAGCAAATTCATACAACATTAGGTGAGTCACATGACAATATTCACTGAGAGACTCACATGGAGGAAATGTGAAGCAGGTCACTATCGAACAGATGATGTGAACCCATAAGCAGTGTCATGGTTTAGCCTGGCTGGAGGCCAGGTGCCCACCAAAGCCACTCTATCAGTCCCCCTCCTCTGCTGGACAGGGGAGAAAAAATACAATGAAAGGCTCGTGGTTCAAGCTAAGGACAGGGAGAGATCACTTCACCCCCGATTTTCTCTCCCTTCTCCCCCAGAGTGACACAGGGGGACAGGGAATGGGGGTTGCAGTCAGTTCATCACACGTTGTCTCTGCTGCTCCTTCCTCCTCAGGGGGAGGACTCCTCACACTCTGCCCCTGCTCCACTGTGGGCTCCCTCCCACGGGAGACAGTCCTCCACAAACTGCTCCAGCGTGAGTCCTTCCTACAGGCTGCAGTTCTTCACAAACTGTCCCAGCGTGGGTCACTTCCATGGGGTGCAGTCCTGGGAAGCTTGGAATAATTTTTTAAGATCAGACCATACTGAAAACCTTTCCTCATTCCACCTCTCCTTTAGAAACATGATCTCCAGGCCACATTTGTGCTGAGAAACAGCAGAAAGGCCAGGTCTTTCCCACTCCCTATCACCTCCACTGTCTTGGGAAATTCTCTCCTACCTCCTCTATTTATCTGTTTTATGAATCCTCAAAGAAATTAAATGTAGAGCAAACCATCAAACCTTCATGAGAATGCCATAAATTTCAATTTACTTGTTGATTATATGCTTTAAAGGCGGCAAAACAATATCTACAAAACAACCTGTGGGAAGTGAAAAACACAACAGGAAATCACTTTTTTCAGTGTAAGGCAAAGCCAGTTATTCTTAGCGACTGCAACAAACCATACAACTTTGTGCCTGCTGACATAGGTGAGCAGACACTGAGCTACACTAAGGGGCAGAAGTTTCTACACAACCAGCAGAGAAGAATGCCATTCTCAAACGAAAGAAACAAAATGTTTAAAATCTTCTCCAAATTTGGTTTGAAGTGAATAGGTTTTTTTCATGGGAAGGCCAGAAATTAAATGTCCCGATACCAAAATTTCCAAGGGACTGCAAATAATTGCTAGTGCTCAAGATTGGGCATGCTAGTTGCCCCCGAGATGCATCAGCATTCCTCTAAATTTTTCATTCCTTTCCTCAGAAAAGTAACTTCATAGTGCCTTCAGAGGCTCCTCTCTTCCTCTCCTCTTCTTCTTTGGCTCCAGAGCTGACATTGCTACCTCCCAGCATTTTCCACAGGAAAAGCACCAAGGTGACAGCCAAGTGCTTCATGACTTATTTGTGATGAGTTCCCATCTCACAAGTCACGCACCCCAGGCAAACTCCTACATTGCTCAGGAGTCATGGGGGTAAAATGACAGCAAGGTAATTTAATCAAGTATAAAACACTAAATATCACTTCAAACATTGTGGCAAACTAGGCATAAAGAACGTTTTTCTGTTTCGTTTCTGATGACATTCACTTTCTTACTAGCACTCTGTTCGATCCTTATTGTAGCTGAAATCTTTTATGCTTGAAAACATAACATATTAAGAAGGCAATACAGACTTCTAAAAAATAAACAGCTAGGATTTTTCCTAACAACTTGGGTAGGCTGTACTTCACCAATTTGAACTGAAGCCAGTTTTATTACAAGATAGGAAATCCTTCCAGCTACACAAGGACAAAATAAGAGTCTAACAGATATTACTGATATAAAACTACAATAAGAAGAGCTTGATAACTGACTTCAACAAAGCAGTTAGCAGGCTTAAGCACCTACTCATTCTAGAAAAGCATGTTATGAAGAATAATACTATAAAAATACCAAATCAGTACTAACACAAACAGAAGTGGAGATTCTTTTTAACACAGTTTAAAAACTCCAAGAGTGTAAGGGCTGATGACACTAATCCAAAAGGGAAATTAGCAAAAAATGAGGAAGAGTCATTTGGTTTGTTTTACAAGTTATTTTGTATAACAACACTGACATCTACATTTTTACCTGTATTTTCCTGCAAGAGGTTTTATCAGACAATAAACAGAAAAGTGAGTATTTACACGTGGTAAACACATTGACCAATATTTGAGAAAATGGAAGAACTTTAAAAATGTCTATAGTTAGTGCCAACTTGTTTTCACCTTTATTACCAACAGATTTTATCTAAAAGAGAAAAACAGTGGTAAGAATGTGAGGAGCAATGATCAACCAACAGGACTCAGGTGGATCACAAAGGACTGTTCAAAGTTCAAAGAACAAATGGAAACTGCTGGAGACTCACCACACTGTGGTTAAGCTGTTCAGTAAATCCAGGCACCTGGGACTGCATTAAGAAAAAACTGAGCTACATGGTATAAAATGCCACTGTGGTAAAAACTCACCTTGCTGGTTCAAAAACTGTGTTGGATTGCCTGTAAACTGGCAGACACTGAGCCTAATCAAGTATCATCTGTTCACAACACTTCAGCTTTTAGACAGATCAAATATCTGTTGTCTCCCTGCTAACTTAAAAAAAAAAACAAGCTCATCCGCTCCAGCTAATTCAATAGCAAGGTGATGGTATGTCACAGACAGATCTGGATCAAATTGGCACTGCATGACCCAGTAGAGTGCATATCTGTCAGTAATCATAAGCGGACTTCGAGGAAAAGTTTGGCAAACCAGTTTCTTAGGTCAACTGAGGGTCGCACTGAAAACAAAGGGGCAGCAAAAACAGATGAAGAAATGAAGAAATGGTAAGTGTAGTGATACTGAGAAGAAGGCAAGGGTAATGTTTCTTCCTGATGAATATTTAAACTATTTAAAGGAAGAATGATAAATAAAACATAGCTAGGAAAAGGATTTACTGCAGTGAATCTTTCTGGTGACTGATGCCAAATGTAATTTGAAAAGCTGGGATGCCAGGCTAGCTGAAGACTGGTGCCAAACACGACACGGATGTCAAAGGCTCATCACTGATGTATCAGCAAGGAAACAGCTTTAAAATCACAAAGAGGAGAATTGCGTGACACTCTCCATCCCAGGATGGATTTATTGCATTTCTAAATGAATGAGTGTTTGTTACACATTCTCAAATGTTAAAGGTTGAGATTTTCACTAGTAAATAATGGAAACTGAAACAAACTATTAAGAATAGAATACAAAAAAGCACAAGCTAGAAACTGTAGGCTCTTTAGCATTCAATCAATGTCCCATTCATTCAGTGTACCTTCCATTCAGGCTATCTGTTATTGTGTAAAAAACACCTGATTTATTAATAAGCATGCAGTAATTTTCCACTTACAGATATATATGATTTTTGAAAGGCAAAATAGAAAGCTTCTCTTCCCAAGGTGTTGAATACCAACAGTGACACTGAAAACATTAACAGAGCAGCTCAAAGCAGTGAGGATCGTATCAAAGATCGCCAGCTTCATATATTTTATGGAAAAAAGGCAGTATTAGAAGATGTTCTGCAAGAAGTTTACAAGTCTAAAAGGAATGAAATCATCCAGAACAAGTCCATAAAGCTCTTCAGCTTACTTCATCTGTCAACTCCCAGCATCTACCCATTTGTTGGTTAAAACCAGAATTGCTTAATACAAGCAAAATCCTATCTTCTAGATCATGAAAATATTGCTGAGGCAGTGAAACACACTGCATGTGCTTTAGATAGAATACAGACAGTGAAAAAATGTTTAAATCTGTAGCAAAAGGAAAAATTTGTTCTCTAGTGCACAAACTAGCAACTGAATGCATTGCTGTGTGTAGAATTCACCACAAAACAGCGTAAAACAATGCACATGGTGTTACACCTACAGCACATGAAGTGGTGATGCACATTAACTGGAAGAAAAATATGTATTGTTACTGTCTCTCATGGCAGACTCTCATAGAACATGCACCACAGTCACTAAGGTCACATAAGACCTCAGAAAAAGCTATATACATTGCAATTGTACACACATTAACAACATATTTCCACTTGCAAGAGGAAGGAAAAAATGCAAAAAGAAAATTACTGAAGTAAAATAAAATTATCTTAAATTTAGATAAGATATGCAAAACAAGCACATCATGTACAAGGTGTTAGTAGGAAAAATCCACCTCTTTTCAAAAGGGATTAAAAAATAGCATTGGCAAAACATATACCCAAATGACTAATGCTATCTATAACCTTGAATTATCTTCGTTCCTTCTGACTATATACAAATATTTGTCAGAGAAGGCCTTTCTTAAGGACACATTCAAAGCCCTTGCACTCTATCATCACTTGTATTGGATCATCTCAGAGTCACACAGAAGAACCTGAACAGGCAAGTTTTCTTGGCCAGTTCCCAAACAGCATCGCCTCTCTCCCGACCAGAATACAGGACCTTCTCAAACGCTAGGTGAGGAATAACCCCAACGTTGTGTCTGTGAACCTGATTATTCACAAACTGGTCCTTTAGCTTTATCTACATCTCCAAATATTTTATGCATAACACTAAGGCCTCTGCAAACCAACTAATGGATTAAAACAACCTGAGAAACTAACAGAACTGAGATGTTTCTACACCATGTGAAGGGGGAATGTGTTTGAACACCCCTGCCAATACAGAATACTTAAAATAAAGAACTGGTTCATAATAGAACTGGCAGGTCTCAAAATACAGTATCAAAATATAAGACTTGTGAAGCCTGTAGGCTGGGACGTAACAGAACAAGAAATTCTGCCCACAGGGACTGAAAATAAATTTGGAGGGACTCTTCAAAAGTAGGATTCCATTAATTATTATACGCAGTATGTTGCTGTCTTCAAAATATCGTAGTTAATTAATACATCTTTAAAGAAGAAAAAGTGACTTAAGATAGGCAATTTACAGACATAACACTGCCTACACAGGTATGTACAACACACTGAAGAGATGGGTCAAAAATGCTCAGTTGCTATAAACATAGCCTTATTAAATTGCATACAAGTGTCTAATGTGATTATATCCAACCAAAGTTGCAATTACAGGAGAGTAATGTCATCACCATTTTTACATTACTGCTGGGGGGTATATTAGGTAACAAAACAAAAGACAAAAGTCCCTCTCCTGGACTCCAGGTACATCTGATCCTTCAGCATGTTCCTCAACTCACACGTATAGAAGATCCCATTAACCACAATGGGACTACAAGATGTGATCAAAACTAGGAACTTTCTGCCTTTGACCCCTTTACTGGGTCAGTAGTCTAAATTGCTCATGATTACATTTTAAGCCACCAGAAAACATATACAACAGCAAATATATATACACATACTGCCATTTGTATGTATTGCATCTGAACATCATTTCTATAGCACTTAATACCTTTAGGCAGAACACTGTAATAACTCATCTTTCAGGCCCACATAAGACAATTATCAAAAAGCACAAGAGCATTTGTACAGTTTGAACAAACTCTGTCAGAAACACAAGACAAGACTACTTTCTTACTAGAAGCACTATTAAAATCACACCTTAATTCTGAACTTTGCCTCTCATTGCATAGCTATGTAGCAATACTGCATCACGTTGTTACCGAAAGCACCCTTAAACATCTCCACCATGCTTGGTGTTCAGCCAGCTTCAGCTGTAGCGCAGATTCAGAGATGGTCACCCAGAGTTTTGTCTGATCTATACATTACTAATCTGAATTTTGGGTGTTTTTTTCCCCTTAGAGAAATAAATAATATTCATAAACTTTAAAAGGGTTCCTGTTTACAATACAAAGTTTCACATAGGTAATGATGCAATTTGCACTGTATGTGTACTGTAGTACATACAAAACATATTGACTCACCCTCCTTCACTTTCGGCCTCCTCAGAGCTGGTAGTTTCTGTTGCACCAGAAGCTGTCTCAGCTTTTCTCCGTTTCGTTGCTCTGTGCGAGGGGCTAACTCTCTGAACACCTCCCTTCCCTTGAAGCTCGTTTCGAACAAGCTCTTCAAGCTTTGGAATAGCTTCTTTCAGAAATTTCACCTCTCTCTTCAGTTCATCCACACTTACTAACAAGCCATTCAGTTTTTCTAGTATCTGCAGTTGCCTTCCGTGTAAAACCATGACCACTCCTTGCTCATCAGGAGCTTCATTTTGCAAGCCCACAGAATTGAGCCTGCTACCTACATCTAGGAACACAGGTATACGCACAGCCGCTCCGGGTTTTCGGATCTTACGGTACCAAATCAGCATCAGGCTTATTCCAGCAGTCCCCGCCATTATGCCCATTATCAGTCCTTTATTTTCGAAGGGAGACATTTCTGCACTCTCCTAAAACTGTCAGACAACAACAACAGCGGGAGTTAAAGATGCTTCGGTAGGAGGGTTGGACTAGATGACCCACAGAGGTCCCTTCCAACCCCTACCTTTCTGTGATTCTACCATTCCATGACGTTCCCACTCCCCACGAACGACTTGCTTTGCGTTTAAGCTGCAGCAGC